TTCCTGCCGAACGAGAATGAGTGCAAATTTGTTTATATGCTCGTAATAAATTTAACATTATAAGTCAATAATTATTTAATTATGAAAAAAAGACAGTTTAGTAATTGCCTTGATAAAATTCTTATCATTAAAGTTTCTAAAAAACACCAAAGTGAAACTAATGGAAGAAGTAAATACAAAAAACAATGAATAATTTTTATTCTTATTATTTTACTTTCATTTTAATCTCATCAACCTTATTTTAATGAGATTAAAATAAATTTCGAGAAAATTATAGAAGTTACTCTTAAAAGTATATGAGTCTGAATTTTTACCCTTATTCTTAATTAATACACTTTTACTAATATAATTATTTAACTAAAAAGATTATTAATTAAAAATAAATGGTAAAATTTTTAATCCATATACTTTTAAATTGTATTTGTCTTATTTCTCCTTAAATTTCATATTTACATTCTTTTAGGGCTGGGTAAAAGGCTAAACGCACCTCATGCTAGTTCCGTCCAGAATAAACGCATTAACCGAAAGGTTTTAAAGAGCCCAAGGTATGAACTGTCCCAAAGCTTAAAAGAATCTTCTTTGGAGGCCTCTTGACTTTCCCCAGGGGCCAAGAGTGTGTGGTTCTCCATGTCAAAAGAAAGAGGCAATGACAAAACAATTTGGGCTTTTAGATAGAAACAAGTGCTCCTTCTAAGAAGGGCTTGACTTTGAAGGTGAGATCTGCTCGCTTGATGACTCTTATTAAAGATCAAACTAAGGCCCCGCTCGTTTTGCGGGTTAAAATTTTGTGGGCTTCAATATTTGAGTTTGAACTTATATACCTATTAGAATAGTTGAGATCTTTTTGTAAATAGAATAAAGTAATGGACCAATCAACTATTTTTACTTGTTTTATTTTTCTCCTGTTGCTGAGCTGGACAATGGCTAACGTTGTGTGTGCCTTTCCTCTCGCCATTATATGTTTCTGTTTTTCCCTATTGCACGTTTCCAGATGAATGAGAAGTAAAATCTTTCTTCCAACTTTCCCAATATTCCAATATGGTATCAGAGAGAAAGCTTCGCTGAGCTTTCATGGCGAGAGGGAACAATCGTCAGGTCCAAATAACTGGTTCCTCTGGCTCGTCGCAAATGGAAGATTCAAGCAGCCCGTACTTTCTTCACAACGAGGATCACCCGGGGCTAGTCCTAGTCTCTCATCATCTCACTGGTTCCAACTACAATACCTGGAACCAAGCAATGATCATGGCTCTCACAGCGAAGAACAAGATTGGGTTCCTAGATGGAAGCCTTCATCGCCCATCTCCCGACGATCTATTGTTCAAGGTTTGGATTCGCAGCAATAGCATGGTAATTTCCTGGATTTTGAACTCAGTAGCTAAGGATATAGCTGATAGCTTGCTCTACGTGGACACAACTCTTGAGATCTGGAATGATCTTCATGATTGGTTCAACTAGAGCACTGGTCCACATATTTTTCAACTTAAAACCTATCTAACGAGACTGCAACAAGGATCCATGGATATGAATACTTACTATACTAAACTGAAGATTTATTGGGATGAACTTAAGATTTTTCAGCCTATACCAGTTTGTAGATGTGGAGGAATGAAAACTTGGTTAGACTACCAACATCAGGAATATGTTATGTAATTCCTTGTGGGTCTCAACGAGTCTTTTACTCAGATTCATTCTCAAATTCTAATGATGGATCATTTGCCCCCAATTTCAAAAGTGTTTGCCCTCGTGCTCCAAGAAGAAAGGCAGAGAATGATTGGTCAAGTTCTGCCTCCTTCCTCTGAGCCAAACGTTTTTGGTGTTGATCAGAAGCCCTCAGTTGCTGCATCTTCCGCCAATTTGAACCATAAGTTCAACGTGATAGGCCACATTGCTCCCACTGTGGCTTGCAAGGGCACACCGTTGAGAAATACTACAGGATTCATGGTTTTCCTCTTGGCTTCAAAACAAAGGCAAATGGTCAACAGGCTAAGGCTCAAACAAACCAGGTTGCTGCGGTCTCTCCAGAAGAGAATTGCTTTGTTTCCTCAGATCCTCTCAATGTCCTCACATGAAATCAGTGCTAACAGCTCATTGCTCTCTTAACCACGCAGCTGCAAGGCATGTCGCGCGTCACTCCTGATCCACAGCAGTCTGGACCATCAGTCTCAAATTTCAATGGTATATTATCCATTTCCTCTACCTTTTCCACTCATTCCATTTCTTCCTCATATTGGATTCTTGACACTGGTGCAACTCATCATGTATGTTGCTCATCGAATTCATTCATGTCATCCATTCCTGTTTCTAACTCTCATGTCACCCTTCCAAATGGTCACATTGTGTCAATTTATCGAACAGTCTCAGTACGATTATCATCTAACTTGGTGTTAGATAACGTTATGTATGTGCCACAGTTCCATTTTAATCTCTTATCCATTAGTGCTCTTACCTAAGGCCATCACTACTCTATTAATTTTCTCTCTAATTCTTGTACCATCCAGGACCATTCTCAGGGCATAACGATTGGGACGGGTAGGAGACATGGAAACCTCTACTTTTTAGACCTACATAATTTTGGCCCCGAGTCTTCCTCATTTCCTAGTTCATCAAACAGTTGTAATAATGTTTCTTTGTCACAAAGTGACCTTTGGCATTGTCACTTGGGACATCCTTCATATGTAAAACTCAATGTTTTAAGGAATGAATTACAAATTTCTGATGTTTCTGATAAATGTGATCATTGTTCAATTTGTCATTTGGCTAAACAACGTAGGTTACCCTTTCCCTTTAGTAATTCCATGATAGATTCACCATTCCAATTAATACATTGTGATATTTGGGGTCCCTTTCACCACTTGACCACATAAGGTTACCGTTATTTTCTCACCATAGTTGATGATTACACTCATTTTACTTGGGTATATCTTTTGCAAACAAAATCTGCAGTCACAACTGTTTTTCCAAAAATTTTCTCCTTAATAGACACACAGTTTGGAATAAAGATCAAGTCAGTTCGATCTGACAATGCCCCTGACTTAGCCTTTTCTGATTTTTTCCGCACAAATGGAATCATTCCTTTTCACTCTTGTGTCGATACCCCCCAATAAAACTCTGTTGTGGAGCGCAAACACCAGTACATCTAAATGTTGCACGCGTTTTATATTTTCAGGCCAACATACCTTTAGATTACTAGGGGGATTGTGTCCTAACATCAGTTTATCTCATCAATCGCATTCCTTCACCCTTGTTATCTAATAAAACACCCCTTGAACTCTTATGGAAAAGGAAGCTTTCATACTCACATTTACGAGCTTTCGGTTGTGTATGTTATAGCTCCACATTAGCTAGGCATAGAACCAAGTTCTCTCCTCGTGCTACCAAAGTTGTTTTCTTGGGTTATCCACCTGGATACAAAGGATACAAGCTTCTTGATCTCACCACCAATGCCATTTTCATTTCACGAGATGTCATTTTTCATGAGACTATCTTTCCTTTTTGTGATTCTCTTTCCAAATCTAGTCCTCATGACTTCTTTTCTGATCGCGTCTTGCCACTTTCTCTTCCTGATCATCCTTCCCCACTGCCTATTGTTGATACTACTCCTGATGCTATCATACATCCCACTCGACCTTGAAAACCTCCTTCTTATTTGCAGGATTACCACTGTTCTTCCATTACTCATGTTTCCAGTTCCACTGCACACCTACTATCTAAAGTGCTTTCTTATGACAAGCTGTCCATTCCTTATAAAACTCTAGTTTGTTCCATTTCTTCAAATGTTGAACCTGCCACCTTTACTGAAGCTGCTGCCGTTGAATAGTGGCGTGAAGCCATGTCAGCCGAGCTACAGGCTCTTGAAAGGAATGAGACTTGGTCTCTGACTAGCTTGTCTCCTGGTAAACACACAGTTGGTTGTAAATGGGTTTACCGGATTAAATATCAGGCAGATGGTTCCATAGAGCGTTACAAAGCATGCTTAGTTGCTAAGGGTTTCACTCAACAAGAGGGCGTTGATTACTTTGATTCTTTTTCGCCAGTAGCAAAATTGGTTACTGTGAAGACATTGCTTGCCTTAGCAGCCATTCATGGATGGAGTTTAACTTAACTCGATCTTAATAACGCTTTCTTGCACGGTGATCATGATGAAGAAGTATACATGTCACTGCCTCCTGGTCTTCACCGTGAGGGGGAGACTATGCCAACCAATGTCGTTTGTAAGCTTCATAAGTCACTCTATGGACTTAATCAAGCCTCCCGACAGTGGTTCTCAAAATTCTTAAGCATTCTTACTGCTAAAGGCTTCAAGCAGTCAACTGCAGACAACTCATTGTTCACCAAAATTCAAGGTTCTTCCTTTGTAGCTCTTTTGGTCTATGTTGATGACATAGTGATTGCTAGCAATGACTTGAACTATGTGACAGCTTTTAAACAGTTCCTTGACAGCAAATTTAAACTCAAGGACCTTGGAGACTTGAAATATTTCCTTGGACTTGAGGTTGGTAGTCTGCTAAAGGAATCTCAATCAGCCAGAGACACTATGCCTTGGATCTTCTCTCGGATTTAGGACATCTTAATTGTAAGACAAGGAAAACACCCATGGATGGTGATGTGAAGCTCTCCCAAAATGATGGAGAAGCACTGGAAGATCCTTCCCAATATAGGAGATTGATTGGAAAATTGTTGTATCTCACTATCACACGACCGTATCTCTCATATTCAGTGAATCAGTTAAGTCAGTTTCTTGCTGATTCTAAAGCGACTCATTTGCAGGCAGCTTGTCGTGTTCTACAATATTTGAAGGGCACAGTTGGTCAGGGCCTTTTCTTCTCTTTTACCTCGGCAATAGAGTTGAAAGCCGTTGCTGACTCAGATTGGGATGCTTGTCCTGATACAAGAAAGTCCATTAGTGTCTTTTGTGTTTTCATTAGAGACTCACTTGTCTCATGGAAATCTAAGAAACAACAAACAGTGTCAAGATCTTCTACAGAGGCAGAGTACCGATCCATGGCGAATGTAATTTGTGAGATCATGTGGCTGTTTTCCCTTCTCAAGGACATAAGCCGGCAGTGTTATTCTGTGATAACTAGGCAGCTTTGCATATAGCGGCTAATCCTGTTTTTTATGAGCGTACAAAACACATAGAAATCAATTGTCACCTTGTTAAAGAGAAAATTCAAGCTGGTGTACTAAAGATGTTGCATGTTTCTTCACAACATCAGTTAGCAGACTTGCTGACGAAGCCTCTATTTCCAGGACAATTTCTTACTCTGCTTGACAAGATAGGAATTCACAACATCTATTCTCCATCTTGAGGGGGAGTATTAGAATAGTTGTGATCTTTTTGTAAATAGAATAAAGTAATGGACCAATTAGCTATTTTTACTTGTTTTATTTTTCTCCTGTTGCTGAGTTAGACAATGGCTCACGTTGTGTGTGCCTTTCCTCTCGCCACTATATGTTTCTGTTTTTCCCTATTGCACGTTTCCAGATGAATGAGAAGTAAAATCTTTCTTCCAACTTGCCCAATATTCCAATAATACCGGTTTTTTTGTAATAAAATTTGAACCGATGTTTAATTACGTTATTAGAATAATTAATTTTTAAAAAATGTGAGTGAAAAGAGTTAATGAGAACTTTTGAGTTAATTAAAAAACTTTTTCTTAGGGTGGGTGAGGGGGGTTAGGGTCGGTGGGTAAAGTCCTATAAAACTTTTATTTTAGGTTGAAGTGAACTCAAAATCCAAAATTAATGTGCAACTAAATAAGGATTTAAACTGCTTTTTGGATTCAAACCCATAAAACTCTCCAACCAAACGGACATCATACTTCATATTTTTATTAGTGGCAGTCGTGATCTTTTGCATGTAATTACTTTTCATTAAAATGTTAATTATTAGAAAAAGACGATTAGAAATAAGAATATTTAAGAAAACAAAAGATATAAAATAGAAGACAAATGATCTAATGTGTTCGGCAATTTGCTTATAACCACATTAAAGCAATATAATTTTTCAAATTTTTTTGTTTTTGTTTTACAATGAGTTTGTCCATAATAGATAGGGATGATCGCCAAATGGTATAACTTATCCACGAGTTGACTTTTTATACTAATATGAAATATCGTAAAATTAAACTATCAATCTCCTGTAATTATACAAGAGGATTTGATTTGTTCACACTATAAATAAAAAGAATATCAATTACTAATTATAATAGTCAACTGAATATTTTAAAAAATACGGTAAATTTAAAAAAATATGAAAAAGTCCGTTAAAAAATATTAAAAAGTAATATTTTCATAGAGTACATCTGTTGTTTGTTCTTTTTTTTTTCAAAAATTTTTTTTTTTTTTTTGAGGTTGGGGATTTGTACTCCACCTTTTGGTGATAGAGGCATCGAGTGTATTCTTATCTTTCAATTTTAACACACAAGCTTTTTGTGATTAGTATCTCGAATGAAAAAGAGACTTATTATTATTATTTTTTATCTTATAGTGAGCAGTGAGTGCCAATAGGATTTATAAAAAAAAAAAAAAAATGGAAACTAGCAAAATGGAAAAATAGAGTTCCAATATTGTACTACACGTACTATAAACCGCCTTCCAAAATAACGCCAACATTGTACTACACAAATTGAACTTCCACAAGCAACACAATTCCCAAATTGCCCAACTGATCGAAACCCACAGTCAGAGACCGATGCGTTGATATTTCTGAACAAAAATATCGAATTCCAATTCTTTTCGGCTCAAACAAGCCATAATAATGACCTTTTAATCATTAATTCCGTATCTAAGTCTTAACTATACATTTATTTTTTGACTAATTAAGTAAACTACAAATTGATCATGATTCAATCACATAGAAAAGCAGTCGCCGGAGGTTCTAACGCCGTCGACTTTGAGCGGCGGCGCGTGGGTGGCGTGACCGACGGATTCCCACCGGCGGCGAGCTGAGGGCCGGGGAAGATTCTCCGGCACGATGGACTCGAGGGAGTTGGTATGCCACGGCGGGCACATTCTTCTGTCGCTCCATTTGGCGACTCTGACGGCGGCCTCGTGACGTGGCTTTTGTAAAAACGGCATTTCTTGGGCAATGGCTTGTTGGCCCAACTCGCTGCTCGCCATCATCACTGAACTCACCAGTTCCAATCCGATTATCACGCTTGCCACTCCTACTATGGATGGGCATTTCCTTCCTAATTTCTCCTCCACTTTTTTGCTGCTATATATATATATGTTATACACATTTGTATATTTATGTATGTAGTTAGTGTTGATGTAACAATTAAAAGAAATAAAACACTTGTACGTATATAGATGTGTAAATATACCATGAAACTTGAGAAGTGGTCTTTGGAGCGAAAGAAGGGCTTGAGGGACGTAGATTCAGGAAGCAGCTTGTTCTAATCGCCATCTCTTTTTCTGATCTAAATTGTTGGAAACCAAATGATGAATAAGGGGAAAAGTCTTTTTGTGTGTGTAGTACACAGATATTATTATTTATATATAAGGAGGTGATGTGTACACTAATTAAATGGATTCCTTCAACCAAAAAGAAACGTACCAAAAACGTTGAGTGAAGGTTGGTGATCTACTGTCTAATTTTTAACGTTTAATTAATCATATTATATCATATTATTTTATAATGAGTACAGAAGATTAGTTAAAAAGTATTTAAAATTTTTTATACAAGATTACATGATATGATTAGTTATACGTTAATTGAGACACTGAAATTAAATAAAAAATATGAGTTTAAATTAATCAAATTACGGAAAAGTGAGAAAAGAACATCAAAAGAGAAGGAAACTTTTTTTTTTTTTTCTGTAGAAGGTGCTTAATTAGGAAGAAGGTCTACCTCTTATTTGAGAATGTATATTTTTAACTCTTAGATTTAATTAAAATTAAAAAAAGTTTAATAAATATGTTTTGATATAGATCTCACAATTAAAACCAAAAACACGTGGACTATTACTGATCAAAGATGGCTGGTAGTGGTTGCTTGCCGTTTAGCACTTTTACAGTTGCTCTTAACGACGCGTGTTGGAAACAGCCTCCTGCTGTGCTGTATATACTCCCAAATAAATGTTGTCCTTCTTTACCGCAGCCTTCCAAAGTTGAAAAGATCCCTCTTTGCTTTTACTGTTCTTCTCATTCTTATGCTATGTTGGGTAAGAAGGAAAGAAAATAAGATAGAAAAAAAAATATAAGTAATAGAAAATAATAATGATGAAAAGAAAATTAATTTTTTTTTAATGTTGTTTGGTACGAGAAGATAGAAAAAAAATGAGTTTACCTTCACTTGTTTAGTATTAGAAGTTAAATTGAGAGAAAAAAAAAATTTTACTCGTAAATTAGTTTTATACCTTTAAATTTTTTGTTTGGATGTTGATGGAGAAAGGGGTAATTTAATAATTTTGCTCACTTTAATTAGTTGTCCCTATTTTTAATCTAATTTTCTGCCCACTTGTGGAAAGAAGAAAAATAGTGGGACCCATATGTATTATTTTTCACTTTATTTCTCTTTTCTCTCCTACCAAACAACCTACATTTCCATTTTCTCTCCCAAAATCTCTCCACCTTCTTCCTTCCTTCTACTTTTCTTTCCTACCAAACATACTCAAGCTTCGTGTGATACGTAGATTTAAATTAAGATGATTCTAATTATGATTTTAAAATTAGAATTATAATTTTAGAATTAGAATTATGATTCATAATTTTTTATTCAAATCATGATCATAGGTTTGAATTATTTTGAATCAAGAGAAGGGGTAATTTTAGAATTATGATTTGAGCTAATTTAAAGCATCACATCAAATTCTAAATCATGATTCAGAATAATCTAAATAATGATTCTGAGATTATGATTCAGAATCATCGTAAACAAATACTGATGTAGACCTAGACTTTGGCAATGACTTCAACTAGATAAATTGGAAGACATTACATTGGAAAGGTTACTTTTAAATTTTCAATCAAATAAATGACAACTGTTTGGGTACAAAGCTGTTCAACGACCGTATTAATTTTGTAATCCAAAAACTATGGGTGCGTTTGGAATTGGTTCCAAAACGTTTTTGTTTTTTGTATGAAAATGAACACGAAAACGTTTTCATTTTCATTTTGGAATCATTTCTAAAAATGCGTTTGGTAGTTTTATTCTGAGATTATTTTCAGTTTTAAAAAAAAAATGAAATTGTGTTTGGTGGTTTAATTTTTAAAAACATGTAATAATATTTAAATAAATAATAATATTAAATAAATAATAATATATTAAATAAACATTATTATATCTAAAAATGGGTTTCGGAA